CCCCCCCAGCCCGGCGGACGAGGTCTGGAGCCTCCGTCCGCCGGCTCCCCCCAGCCCCCCTGGCCCCAGTCCAGGCCGGCAGACGAGGCCTGGACCCTCCGTCCACCGCTTCCCCCCGGCCCCTGTCCACAGTCCAGGCCGGGTCCCCTCCTCCCCCCCTTTTTTTCTCTCTCCCCTCCCAACATTCTCTCTCTCACCCACTCTGTTTCCCCCCTCTCTTTCGTTCTCTGCCCTTCTTCCTTCTCAACTATCCTTCGTCCCATTCACTCTCTTTCAATCTCTGTCTTTCTACCCATCTACCTACCTACCTTCCTTCCTTCCGTCCTACCTTCCTTTCATTCTTCCTCCCTTCCTTCCTAGCTTTCTACCTTCCTTTCTTTCCAAATTTCTACCATTAACCTTACTCTGTCTCCACCCCTTTTCTCTTTCCCCCCTCTCTAACTCTGTCTCTCTCTCTCGACCTCCTCTTCTCCATTCCTCCCTTCCTATCTAGGGCCCGTCGTCTACCACCACGACGGGCTTTCTTTACTAGTATAATATATAACACACACACATATCCCAAAGCCTTGTCTGTGTTTGAATGTTCCGGCACATGGGCTGTTCACCATTAACTTGAGTGGAGGGGGCAGCTCTGTGTGCTGATAAATCATTAAGATATGAGTCTGCTCTGTCTCCAGTGAAGTGAGACCAAAGCCTGTGCACATGAGGAAGTTCCATGTCCATTGGTCACAGGGACCCTGAACCCACAGGACATTGCTGGAGCAAAGCAGTAGTGGTTCCCACCCCCCACCCCCACGATGAAGATTATTGCGCCAAAGATGTGTGCATATTTTAGACAAGCCATCTCATAATTTCTGAAGACACATAAGATCTATCTATCTGTGTACCTAGTTTTAAAATAATTGTAGTCAGACAGATTCATTGGGTTGGAGCCAACCAGCTTTCCCACTGGTGAAAAGGGTAGGGAGTGGTCTGCTGTGATCACCAAAAAGGTTATGCTGCGGGTAAGAGGATCTGCATGAGTTAAAGCCATGTAAAACAGAGGCTATGGTAACAAAATGAATTGAGTGAAAAACTTGACTGGATCCAACCCATGGTATTGTGACTGTGTCAACTGGGTTTTTTTCACTTCCAGGAATGTAGACCTAATGCAACACCTTTCTCTTATATTATAAGCACACATGTTTGCTATGGGCACATACCTATGCCAGATGAAGTGGATAACTTTCCCTCTGACTGTATTCATTTACTTATTTTGTTTTTGTGGGGCTATATCTAGACTATATCTAAAGCACCTTTACAGCTTTAAAAGGAGCTTGAGGCAGTATACAATCTAATCAATAATGATGGCATAAACTATAGTGATTCTATCCAGATATCATAAACAATTTATGAGGTGAACGAGTCTCACATTCTTGGACTTACACATTAACTACATTGTATTTATTACATACATTTTTATCATGCCCTTGTTCTCAGGAGCTCAGGAAGACATAGATCATTCTTCATTTTATCCTCACAACAACTCTGTGAGATAGGTTAGGCTGAGAAAGAGTGACTGGCCAAGTCTACCCAATGAGCTTCCTGGCAGAAAGATATAATACCCGAGGCTATATACTTACTTCTTTTTTCAAAGAGAACTACATCTGACCTTCTGAACATCACTGTTGTTTTGCTGTTGTCAGCTAATGTAATACATTGTTGGTCTTTGGTGGTAAACAGAAAAGACCTGTTAAAATGGTGAGATGTAAAACAGGTACTCATTTTATCTTAATTGTTGTCATAAAGTCAATTATTCCATCCATTTTTTATTATACAACAGTGGGACATGGGAGGATCCATAGAGGAGGGGGAATCCCTTTCTTTCCTGCTGGTCCCTACTTCCAGCTCTTCTTTCCCCATTCTTTGGTTCTCTTTCCCAACCACTTTCCCTCTTTCCTTCCCCCTCCTCTACCTGCCCCAGCTTCCCCCCCTCCACTTGCCGATTTGCCCACTCTTCCCTGTTCACTTTCCTCTCAAATTCCACAGCATGTTTTATATTCTTATATTATGCAATGTCCTTAACATGTGTTTAACAATGATGTTTTATGCTTCTCACTTTTCCCTTTGTCCTTTTTCATTTTATATGCCTTTAAATGGCTATATATATATGTACATATGGTGGAACAGGGAGGAAGAGAAGGAGGCACATGAGGGAAGCAAGTCAGAGCTGGCTCTAGCTTCCATTGTTTACCTCTTCTCAACATGTTCAACATTGGTGTGTGTTGTTTTTTTTAATTAGATTTTCCTGCAAATCTGTATCCTACCCTTGAGTGGCCTCACTGTGAAGATTTTCTGATCTCCATGGCATCCACTCTGGCTATTAGATAAAAGGATTGAATGCACTTACTGGAGCACATTTAGTCTGTACGTAAAGGCAGGACTTGATGTTATTATGAAACATAATACATAGAGTTAATACTAAGAAAACTAAACTCAGTGGAAAAATCCCAGGAAGTTGTGCTGGTTATCAGAGCTATATTAAACTATTTATTTCTCTTGAAAACCGTTCTGTATACCTTAGCTGTACATCTGAATTTAGTCCCTTTTCTGAAGAATTATAAATTACACATAACACATTATACCAAGCATATTAAGACTATTATTGTAAGTATATTATATTACCCTTAGCACATTCTACTGTAGCAAAATGTTACTTGAATTTCAGTCATCAGGATAAATAGTGATAGGAGGGCTGCTAGCCTTATGATCTGTTTGTGGGTTTTTCTGAAGGTATCCAGCTGGAAGCAGTATGGGTGGGTACATCATTTTCCCACAGATTGTTAGTTTTTGTAGCATGAACTAAACTTAGATTATAGATTCTGGCTGCGTTCACACAAACTAAATAGTCCACTTTCAATGCACTGCCCAACTGGATTTTACTGAGTGAACTGGCAAACTCCAGTTGGAAAGTGGATTGGAAGTGGATTATTTAGTTTGTGTGATCTGAAATGCTTGTTTCTTCACATGTTCTCTCTACACTTAAACTCATAATTGGCCTTCATAGTTAAACATCAGCAGATGTGACAGCTATAGAAGCACAAAAATAGTTCATTTATGTATGTATGTATTTATTTATAAGTTGAATTTATGAATTGCTCAGACCCTGAGTACTCAGGACTCTGAGCTACGAGCAACAGTAAATACATATCAATTCCAATACATACAAAAACAATTCCAGCAATTTAAAATTAATTAAAACAATTTCATAAATAAAAAACATTCATAAATAACTGTTTCATAAATATTCAGATGGCATTGATAAATCTGATTATAACTGTGTCCCTACCTCATTGGGGGGGGGGGGGTAAGGTGGGAGCGTAGTTGGGAAGAGGAGAAAAGGAGGAAGGGAGTGCCAACCAAGATGGTGCCCATCTCTGTCCTCAAACAAAGGCCTGGCAGAACATCTCTGCCTTGCAAGCCCTGCAGAACTGCATAAGGTCCCATGGGGTGTGGATGCTATTTGGCAGAGAAATCCACCAGGCTGTCGAGGACAGCCAAATGGTGCATGTGTATAAAACTGGTACTCATTTTACTCCAGCTGTATCATCAACACATCCAGTCCTGTCCAAATGGCAGGTAGATGAAGGTAACAGGCAGCACAACACAATTCACTCAAGGGCAGCATGCACTGAATCATTTCATGTTTGGAGTCTAACAGTGAGATCTTACAACAAAGGGATTATTATGTAAAAGGTTCACTCCAGTCATCTCATGTTCCCCGTGTAGAGTTTTCAAACAATTTATTTTTCTTATTACAGTATCTTAGACACTTAGCACATAGAACGATGTGAGCTCCTCATCCAGCATTAAAGCCTTCAGGCATCCTTTGCAGGATATAGCCAAGTGACACTGACCTGCAGAGAAATGTTTGTTCAGCTTCACATTTCTCAGCACATTCTTCTCTACTGAGAGTACTGTAGAACTGTTTTTTCTGACCAAGTATCCAAGCACCATCGGTCCTCACATAGTTATCCAGTATATCTCCTTGAACTAGAAGAAAATTAGCAAGCTTGAGTCATTTTAAAAAGTGATAACGCTGTCATCAATAGAACATCATTTTCTGCACTTGAATCAGCTAATCACCAGCAGCAATGAACCACCCAGGGAAGATACAGAGCTAGGGACTAGTCCCTGCAACATACCTCAGCCTCAGCTATGTCCCATATCAACCCAAGTGACACCCTTGCAGGATCCAGTAATGTCATATGAGCAAGGGCTCATTCATCTTCATGTTCTCTGATGTGGACCCAGGCATTAAAAATGGAAACCATTGAAAATCTGTGGGGGAGCATTCCAGCCCCCCCAGGGCATTAAGTAATTCACTTAATGGGTGCCGTATAAAAGTTTCAAAGGGAAATGCCAGTGAGAAGCTGTTGAGTTTGAATTCATATGTTGATTAGATATTATATTAGGCTTTGGCTCGAGAGGGAAATTAGCTCATCACCCAAAAAAGATCTGTCCTTCCCTAGAGCTTTATGTACACTATTCAGATTCGTGTTACTTTGCTGATTCATCAGCAGCTGGGAGTGGTAATTAAACACCTATTCAGAGTGGATCATTCATTGACTTTTTTTGACTAGATCTTTATCTGTGCTCTGAATCTTCATCTGAGGTAACACACCTGTGTCCTGTGAAAGGGAGTCTTCTGGTCTCTTTGTAAACTGCCTCTCCCTGCTCTTCTGCTGTTTGTAGCTTAAGGAAAACATATAGCTGCCAACTGGATATAGCACTTCCATGCCTCTGACAAAGAAGGCTCTGGCTTATCAAAGTTATGCCACAATAAATCTGTTAGTCTCTAAAGTACTGGTGGTGGTGAAAAGTGCCGTTAAGTCATAGCTGACATGGTGACCCTGTAGGGTTTTCGAGGCAAGAGCTCTACAGACGTGGTTTGTCATTGCCTGCCTCCGTGTCATGATCCTGGTCTCCCATCCAAATACCAACAAAGGCTGACCCCTCTTAACTTCCAAAATCTGATGCAATCGAGCTAGCCTGGGCCATCCAGGTCAGAGTTTAGGCTAGCCTGGCTATACAGGTCAGGGCTCTAAGGTACTAAAGTAAAGGTAAAGGTTCCCTTGCTCGAAAGCCAGTCGAATCCGACTCTAGGGTTGCGGTGCTCGTCTCTGTTTCAAAGCCGAAGAGCCAGCGCTGTCTGAAGACATTTCCATGGTCATGTGGCCGGCATGACTAAACGCCAAGGCGCACGGAACGCTGTTACCTTCCAACGGGAGTGGTACCTATTTATCTACTTGCAATTTCTAGCTTTTGAACTGCTAGGTTGGCAGGAGCTGGAACTAGAGATAGGAGCTCACTCCGTCATGCAGGAACTAGGATCTCGAACTGCTGAACTACGGACCTTCCACAGCCTGCAGTTCAGCGTCTTAACCACTTGAGCCACCGCAGCTCCAGGTACTCTAAGTACTCTAAGGTACTACAAGTCTCTATTCTTTTTGGCTGAAGCAGGCTAACATAGCTATCTTCTGGAATTTATCATTTTCTCTATAGTGATGATCAAGAAATTCCTATTCCTCATTTATAATGTATATGTGTGGGACTCACTACAGACTGAGTTTTCTGGACAATTTTGATGTGGTGAGGCAGTTTCTTGAGGTACTCCTCCAACAAACGACAGGACTCTAACATGCTACCTTCTTTCAGAGGTTTTCTTGAGAGATATAACTTGTAAGGTTTTGCCATTACAAAGACTGTTTGTTCATCATGTCAAAAAGTGTAAAAATATTTTTTCCTAGAACTTCAGAGCAGAGGGTAGCCATGTAGGTGTGCATAAAACAGCTAGATTCGAGTTCAGCAGCACCTTAGAGACCAACATGATTTTTTGGGGGGGTGAGCTTTCCAGAGTCAAAGCTCCCTTCACCAGATAATGATGAGAACTGACTGTCTATCTTATCAAGAATTGTGATGTTCACTGGATGGTTAATTAGCATTCTCCTCTCCTCCTTCCTCTTTTACTTTTCAGTAAGTCAAAGCATGTGCCTGTGTGTTATTAATAGGATAGGATGTCCTTGAGCCAGTTTGGTGTAGTGAGTCTGGTGTAGAGAGTTTGGTGTAGAGAGCCAGTTTGGTGTAGTAGTTAAGTGCACGGTCTCTAATCTGGGAGAACCGGTTGATTCCATAGTTCTGATAAGAGCTGTTCTTGAAAAAGAGCAGTTTCTGTCAGAGCTCTCTCAGTCCCACCTACCTCACAGGGTGTCTGTTGTGGGGAGGGGAAGGGAAAGGAGATTGTAAGTCGCTCTGAGACACCTTTGGGTAGTGAAGGGCGGGGTATAAAGCCAATCTCTTCTCTTCTTCTCTTCTCTTGTGTTGTGAATTTCCCCACATTCACAGGTTCATTGGCTCCTTTAAGATCAACAAAGTTTTATTCAAGGCATGAGTTTTCATGTGCACGCATACTTTTTCAAAGACATTAGGATGGAAGGTAAGGTTCAAACTTATAGACAGGGGCTGATCAGCAAATTAACATGTAACATGATGAAGACGTTTTAAGATATGAGTAGGATAAATGGACACAAATCTGGCACCACGATTCACAAGACTGAGAAACCTATAGGAGAACACTTCAGCCTTCCAGGACATTCAATGGGTGACCTATAGGTAGCTGTTTTATTACAAAGGAACTTCAGGAACAGAATGGAAAGGGAAATTGCTGAATTTCCCATTACAACACTCAGAACAAAAACTTCCCCAGGACTCAACAGGAATATTGGTTTCTTATCTCATTACATATGCTAATTCATTCAGTCCTCACATATGTATTGTCATACAGAGGGACTATACATCCTCTGTATTTTAGTGTATTTCTTTTTCAGAATAGTATATTGGAACACTGAATGTAATACAATGACTATTGGAATGTTTGGCTGACACAACACTACACCCACCTCAAAAAAGAAAAAAAAATGCTGTTAGGTGACCTCCTCGCCTGAGAGGAGTGAATGGAGAGTGTCAGTCTTATTTTGACATATTTATTGCTTTACAACTGTTGGCCTTATAACCTTAGCTTGTTATTTAGTTTTGTCTTGGCATAGCTTAAAACATCATCATGTTACATGTTAATTTGCTGTTCAGCCCGGTCTATAAATCTGAACCTTATCTTCCATTCCAATGTATTTGAAAAAGGGTGTGTGCACACGAAAGCTCATACATTGAATAAAACTTTGTTGGTCTTAAATTTGTACTACTGCTTCAGACCAACAGAACTGACCACCCGGATCTAGGTTCATTGGCTGACACTTGTGGGTGGGTGGAGAAACTCATAATGATTTCATGTTACATGCTTTGCCTTACAGTGCTGGAGGTACCATATAGCAAGATAAATTGTTCCACACAGTGGCAGATTTGAGGTATCACTAAAAAGAAGCAATGTATTAATATACTCTTACAGTCCCGAGGCTACCATTTGCATCATCTTAGACTGCTTATTAAATATTATGCAAAAAGTGAAAAATGAATAGACAGAGGATATTGGCTTGCAGTGGTAGCTATATACTGGCCATAACATCAGCCTTAGCTAATAGTGACAACAACTACATTTGCTCATAGATTTCAATTATCCAAAGTATTAGGATTTGAGTAGCAAACTGACCTACTCTACACTGACCTACACTAAAATCGCCTTCTGTATAAAGCACACTAAAAATAGCTGTCCTATTAAACTGACTGTGGTCAGTCATATGGGAACCAGGAACCAGGAATGAAGTTCAGCTCAGAGTTCAGTGGGGTTCTAAGCCTCTGGAAAAGTAATATATAACTCTGCTTTTATGCAGTATAAACTGTGGGGTGAGGTAATGATTCCAGATATACTTTGGTTTAATGGCTCATGACATTCTAATCTTAATTCAAATGTATGAACCTCCAAAATCTTCAAAATGTTTCCATGAAACAAAAGGGTAGGATCTTCAAAAGTAGGAGTGTGTGGGGTAGGCTTGAAGTGGCTTGCCTCATTTTTCCAGGGTTGGGGACTGAGGGTAGCACTAGGAAAGAGGTTGTCAACTAGGCACCCACTAGTATGTGGGGTCCCTCAGGGGGCAATCCTCTCTCCAGTGTTATTTAACATCTGTATGCGCCCCCTCAACTAGCTTTGGGCTGAGTTGTCACCAGTACGCTGATGACAACCAGCTACATCTGTTGATGGGCAGCTGGCAAATCTGGCTGAGGGTTTGGAGGCTGTGGTGGGATGGTTGAAGCTGAGCTGGCTAAGACTGAATCCACTGAAGATGGAGGTTTTGTGGCTGGGGGGGGGAAGGACTCAGGGCTGGGGTGCCATCTTCCAGCTCTTGACGATGTGCCCTTGACACCGGCATCAACTGTCAAGAGTCTGGGTGTGATTCTAGATGCCTCCTTAACAATGAAGGCCCAGATTGTAAACATTGCCAGACTGGCGTTTTTTCGAGCTGCATCAGGTTAGGCAAATGTTTCCTTTACCTGTCTCACCCCAACCTAGCCACTGTAATCCATGCAACACTCACCTCCAGGTTGGACTACTGTAACTCGCTCTATGCAGGGCTATCCTTGAATCTGACTCAGAAACTCCAGCTGATCCAGAATGTGGCAGTGTGGGTCCTTATGGGGACCCCATGCACAGCACATATCCACTCTGTGCTTTGTGAGCTGCAGTGGCTGCCGGTGGAGTACCAGATCAGATTCAAGGTTATGGTGTTAAAATGTAAGGCCCTAAATGGTCAGGGACCTATGTACCTTCGGGACGGCCTCTCCTGGTATACCCCCCAAAGAAGAAGAAGAGGAGATTGGATTTATACCCCGCCTTTCACTACCCAAAGGTGTCTCAGAGCGGCTTACAAACTCCTTTCCCTTCCCCTCCCCACAACAGACAGACACCCTGGGAGGTAGGTGGGGCTGAGAGAGCTCTGACAGAAACTGCTCTTTTTCAAGAACAGCTCTTATCAGAACTATGGCTTGCCTAAGGTCATCCAGCCAGGTGCAAGTGGAGGAGTGGGGAATCAAACCCGGTTCTC